TTTTTGTAAAACCCTGACGAGGAGGTGGTGTGTGATCCTGTTCCGAGAACAGTGTTCTTGAGTCGTGTTCCCGCTGTTCGAGCACGAGAACAAGAAACCCGTGAAAAGAACAGGCCGCCCGAACTCGACCTTATAGTCATGTTCTTTTCCATTCCATGTACGCTACTCTATCAAAATTATCTCATGGAGTGACCGTCTGATTATTTGCCTCAGCTACAGCCCCGGCACCAGCTTTGGGCATTAGGGGGCCACAGGACCAGCTTGGGGGACACATCACAACACCACTAGGCAATTTTTATGCATAGGTTTTTATTGAGAGGGGGGTTAGCTGCTTGTGGGGTGGGGGGGCACCATGGTGACCGGCCTACCTGGCTCTTCCTTTTCTTCTGTGAGATATTAGGTGTGAAAAGAGGGAGGGACACAGTTTATGAGATTTATTTTTAATCATGGAACATTTGGCCTTTTCTCCACTGGGTTTCTTCACTTCGCTATCAAAGAAGCAAACTGTAAAGCAGTAGGTTCTATACTTCCCTTTTATGCTGATCTTTAACTTTTGGTCCAGTCATCTTTCTATGAGTCATCTCTTCATTTACAAGTTGTAATGCTCTTGTTAAATTACTGAAATATTGAATCACTTCAAAGACACCTCTTTCAATTTAAAGGCTCTTCAGAGGTCAGTAAAGGGTCGGTTCCCAATAGGGGACAGTCGGTCTGGCCATACTTTCCCTGATACTGGGAAGTGTTTGGTGTGAGTGCTGGAGAAGAAATGAAATCAACCCTTAGTCTTTGAAGGGTTCACAGGTTCTATTACACAGCTGAGCTGGACTAGTCATATAATAGCAGAGGATATTGAAAGTAATCAGAAATTTAATACTAAGGAATGAAATTTTACACATGCCTATTTTACTGAGAACTATTCAAAATGTACAGAATGAGCTTAACTCCAAAGATATTGCTCAAGGTAAATATCATAGGAGTATTTATGAATTGCCTCACATTATTTGTAATGTGTACAGATAACTGATTGAAAATCTCAAAGACATTTGAAATTTCATAGTTGTGCTTTATGAGCCCTCATTGCACATAGGTTTTTTCTTCATATGTTTTGCTCTGAGGACAATTGCTGGTTAAGATCAGGAACAAAAATTCCTAGTAATGTCAACCCAGGTTGCCTGGGGTCAGCCTGTCAGGTAGCAAGGTCTCAACCTTGAACCATCTGTAAAAAACCGACAGAGAAGAGGAAGTTTCTGACGAGCAAGGAATAAATCATAAGTTATGGAGAAGAGTGGTTGCCCCTTTATTGAGGCCCTGGGGAATTTGATGGTGCTGGGGGAAAGCATAATTGGGGGAGGAACAAACAATTTTGAGGAATGAAAAAAAAATGGTGGAATTTGTGGTAAGGTGTTTTATAGGTCCTCTCCATAAATATTTTGTCAAGGAAATTGCTTCCATTCGTTTAGTATTTTTGGCATGGTGATCAGAAAGTTGTGGTCAGAACCTGACCTCTGTGCTGCTGTGTGGCTGTTTTTGGCATTTAAAGTGGTCTGGATTCTTCTTCGTAATGAGTGTAAGAATTATTTCCAGCATTTTGTACACTACTGATGGTGTTGCTGTGTGCTCAGTAGAATATAAGTTTAACAAAACGTAGATTTAGAAATATTCAAGGGATTTTAAAAAGGAATATATGGAATAATACACGACATTCTAAGAAGCTCCTTCATATGTGTAACTGTATGCCTTTGCTGTTCGATTTGGTTCTTTTCAATCTTTGTCTTGCAAAATAACATTAATTTCAATTTATTCAATGTTGTGTTGTACATGTATTAGTAAGCAAACAATAGGTGAAAATTTCATTTTTCTGGCATAGAATCTATTCATCACTGTCCAGCTGAAAGGAACAGACAAGTTGCAATTATCATAATGTGTGATCTTATTACATCTGTCCTCCCCAAGATGTCTTTATCCCTAGCCAACTCCTCCTGGCGGTATAATCTCGCCACATGTAAAATGCACACGTTAGAAAAATAGCCTCAGGCAGAGGGTCGTGATATGACATATCCCCTGACAGGCCGACTCAGGTAGTGTAAACTCTGGGAACATCCGTGCTGACTCTTTCTTATCTCGACATGCATTTGTTGTTGATGCTTTCGGACAAGCACATTTATCATGGCATTGCTGTCATTTTTTTTTTGTAATATTAAGGTCTCTCAGATGTATCTTTTGAAGTGGCTCTTCCTTTTGGCTTTGTGCTTTTTACCATCACAGAGGAATACAGGAACCCTTTTAACATGGTAAGGGCACTTTGGAGGATCCGGAGTACTTTTAAGATGAACCAAAATTTGGAATCATCTGTGACTTCATTCAAGAAAAGGAAATGTTCTTCAAGCAATGTGCAAATAAATATGAACCTCCCATCCACAAGTTATTACAGTAGTTTGCTTTGTTTTTGAAGTATTTCCGCCGTTTCAGCTTCTTAGATGAAACACTCATTCAGAACTGTAAATCAAAGTTGCAGAATCGTGACTGCACGCACAAAGATCCCCTCTCTGCCATTGTTATTTTAAACTAGATTTCCATAATTGATGATCGCCCTCACCATTTCTGACTGACCCAGAAACAAGCTCATACAGTGACTGAACGAGAACAGTAATTGGGGCCAAGGGGCAAAAGGTACCAAAAAAGAAGAATTGCTGATGCCCATCAAACAGAGCAGACCTGACAATGGAGGAGAATAGGGGCGAGAGTCACCTGCAATTTTTTGATATTGGGGTAAGGTGTTACAAAAAGAAAGCTTGACAAAGGAAAGTAACCTAGAAGTGGATGTCTCTATTGTCTAGTCATGGGTTCAAGCAATCATCATCAGTGAAAAAATTGCCCTCAAAGGTGCTGATTGATGGATACTTACAAGTTCAACTGAGATGAATGACTTGAACCTAATCCTCCTGACATGCTATCAGTTGTATTTCTTGTCTCATGGAAAATGGATGAAGAACCTAAATGTACTCACTGACCTCCACAAACCACAAATTCAATTGATTCTTAAAATTGTCATCACCCTATCAACTCCAGTGAAAAGAACTTTTGAATGTGTATACTTTATAGTGATAAATATTAAGTTACTTTCTTATTTTACGTCTTTGTACAGCTCCATGAACAAAATTTGAACAGGTATTTGAGTTTGAAATGGCATCTTTGCTTTGTTTATTTGACGGCAAGATTGAATCAGAACAAAATAATGTTATTTTGCAAAATATTACTCAGATGGGCCTTGCTGTCATAAGGCGTCTAATCACAAGATATTGTGTCTCCCCAGGGAAATTTACCATCCATCAAAACAATAAATTATTCATGATATTCAAATCATCTGTCACCATCACACAGCTGATATGCCAATCACTAATATAACTGCTGTGGGGGGAAAATAAACTGGGAAAACCTTTCAGGATTTGATCAGTGCCTAGGGCCAGTTCTCTCCAATTAAGGTAGGGTATTGTCCACCTTCTTTGTTGAAAGCTGGTCAAGCTACCAGAGTGCTTTGTGAAGCACTTATATCTTTAAATGGGAAACCAGAGTGTGATATATTGTTGGTTTACAAAAGCATGGACCGTGTATTGCCAAAATGTTTCTGTCCAATATGTTTAAGGGTAAAAAAGAGTCGACTTTGTGGATGAATGTGGGCCCTCTGAGAATAAAGTCAGAGCACAGACCTAGTAGAAATTTGCTCAAATGTCTATAAGAGAACACACCCTGACACAAATAGAGCTCAGGCGCGGATCCAAGGGGGGTTGACCCCCCCACACACACTCACAAATCCACACACACACACGCCACTCTAAAAAACGGGGGGGGGGCATGGCGAAAACGATAAAAAATAACTAAAGTAAATGCACCCAAACTATTGTAAACAATGCATGTCATCGTTGCCGCTTGTCCGCAAAAATGAGAGCAAAAAAACCTCCAGCTTGAACCCCCCCGGAATATTCCTGGATCTGCTCCTGCCTGGAACCTATGAAAAATGAGACAAGCAAGAGCTTTGCTGTAAAGCTGGAATACTCATCGATAGGCCTGGAAGGAAGTGGGTGATTCAGGAAGTAATTCTTTCATTATGATTCCTGACAGACTAATTGAACAGGAAGTAATTGTTTTTTTCATCGTATGCAGTGAGTTTTATCACTGTAAATTTGATTATTTTATTAATCCATTTGATTAAATTTATCCCACTTTACTAAGGAAATGGACGTAAAATCTACCAGGGTCCACTATCTTTGAGCAAATACTTCAGCTTTTATTTTTATTTATTATTTTAGAAGCAAAGACTCACAAATCATCTAAATTTGTTTGGAAATCTGAAAAGTAGAAACGCCCATTTGGTTTGCCCGCTTTTTATTCGCAACTGAGGTTTCATATACATGTAGATATATTTAAATCTCGACTTCTCTCTCTCCGAATGTGATTAAAAAACGTTAATTTAACGGAACAAACGATATTAATTTTGGTGGGCTAATTTCAACATAAAAAGAAAACAAGTGGCTGTAGAGCAGTAGCCTTCTGAATAAGGAGCGGTAACACCTTTTTAATAGGTTGTTGAGGTTTGGAACTTTGACGCATTTAAAACCACGCACGACACAACACCAGTCTCAGAATCTCCGCTTCGTCTTTGTGCACCTGTTCACCGCTTTGTTGAAGTGACAATCATGTGACTTAATGCTGCGAGATGATTGGGCAAAGTCCATCAGCATTTAGCAGTTTCTAATGTTTTGCGGCGGTCCCACAGATGCATTTTATTGTAAAAAGCTTCGAGAAATAAGACCTTCATAAAAGATATTTTGTTTGAAACCGGTTACAATTTTAGCTATAAAGAGTAGTAAATATGCTATTTTTCAACAGTTGTTTGCTTTGTCGTATTTCTTAACACGTCCTGTTTCACCGTATCTATTTGGGGTAATAGAAACGGTCCTCGTGACGTCAGATGCAGGTATTGGGCCTGCCACAAAGCAGGTACGATATGATAAACATGCGCTCCTTCGGCTTCTGTGAGCGATTCGCAGCTGGATAATGTATAGCACTGTGGGTACGTACGGAGGACTAGTAAGATTGTCTTACCGCCTTGTCGGGCATTCTCGGTCATTTTCATTGCAGAATTTCTTCTCAGTCAAGCCTTGATCGCCGCTCTCTAGATGATCTGGTAATATCAGCAGATTTTTGGAAGCCGTCTGACACAATGGCGTTGAGGAACGGGGGTATTTTGCCGTGTTTTACAACCCGCGTTGTCGCGATCGTCGTCGTTTTCCTGTGCAGACATTCCGTGGTCGAATGTCAAATCGGCAGCATGTCATACGGTCGTTGCGAGCCCATCACCATTCCGTTGTGCCAGGATGTCCCTTACAACGAGACGATCATGCCGAATTTACTGAACCACCAGCGACAGGATGAAGCCGGTTTGGAGGTCCACCAGTTTTACCCGCTTGTCAAGGTACAGTGCTCCGTGGATCTCAAGTATTTTTTGTGCTCTATGTACGCACCCTTCTGTGCTAGGATCCCCGATCATCCTGCTCTCCAACCCTGTAAATCGCTCTGCCTCAGCGCCCGTAGCGGCTGCGAGGAACTCATGAACAAATTTGGTTTTTCCTGGCCTGCAAGCCTAGACTGTGAACAGTTCCCCGAAACTGGTCTGTGTTTTGATCGCAATCGAACAACGGACAAATACACCATACCGCCCACGACACCACCTAATGTGACAAAAATTCCCCCTACCACGTCAATCGTCAAGAACGTTCCCTTCTCTTGTCCGAAGGAGCTCATGGTAGATCCGGATTGGGAGTATGAATTCATGGGTGCCAAGAACTGCGGAGCCCCTTGCCACATGTACTTCAACAATACTAGTGAGCAAAGATTTGCCCGCATTTGGATTGGGTCCTGGGCATTCCTTTGTGCATTTTCATCTCTTTTTACCGTCTTGACATTCCTCATTGACCGGACCCGATTTAAGTACCCAGAACGTCCAATCATCTTCCTCTCTGGATGCTACTTCATCATCTCTGTTGTCTACATCAGTGGGTTTTTCCTGTCGGACAAGGTGGCCTGCAACAAACCCACTGCACCAGGAAGACTCTGGACCATGACGCACGGAGCCAAGCGAGAGGGATGCACCATTCTTTTTATGTTACTCTACTACTTCCGCATGGCATCATCACTTTGGTGGGTCATCCTCAGCTTGACGTGGTTCTTGGCCGCTGGGATGAAATGGGGCCACGAGGCCATCGAGCGCAACTCGCAGTATTTCCACTTTGCTGCCTGGTCCATACCTGCCATCAAGACCATCGTCATCCTTGCAGTCGGGGAAATCGACGGTGATCCTTTGGCTGGTGTCTGCTACACGGGCGTCTCCAACATCAACGCTTTGCGGGGATTTGTCCTTGCCCCGCTCTTTGTCTACTTGATCATCGGCTCCATATTTCTGCTCACTGGATTTATCGCGCTGTTCCGCATCAGAACTTTCATGAAGCAGGATGGGAACAAGACGGACAAACTCGAGAAGCTGATGATGCGCATTGGGTTATTTTCCGTGTTGTATACACTCCCGGCCTCTGTCGTCATCGGATGTTATTTCTATGAGCAGTCCAACCACGCCCGGTGGCAGGTCCAGTGGGTAAAGCAAAACTGTGCAATGTACAGCTTCTCTTGCTCGTTCCAAATGGCCGAACACATGTACATCACAGACCTACCTTATCCAGACTTTCTAGTCTACATGATCAAATATCTCATGCTGTTGGTGGTCGGAATCACCAGCGGCGTTTGGATTTGGTCTGGCAAAACTGTTCGGTCATGGTCAGTATTTTACAGCAGGATTTGTTCAATATTTCAGCCCAAGCAACTGCCAACAAACGTATGATGTGAACTGTTATTGCAATTGCTTTTGAAACAGACTTTGAGCCCTGGGATAAACCGTGTGTCATTAACAGCATAGTGTAGTCGATAAAGCCAAGCTTTTTGTCATCGACCAACCTGCAGACAGCGTGTCGGTGTTGAAATCGTTTTCAATGGACAGGTTGTCATGACGTTTTGGGTCAGAACTGTGCGTATAAACTTAACTTGACTGCATGTAGGTGTGACATTGTGACAGTGAGCTTGCGTGAAAACTTTAGTGTTGTATAGCGTCCTGGACAACAAAGGCACCCACCACCGGTCCTGGACAAAATACCAGGTGGGTGGAAATTTTGTAAATATGCTGTAATTTGTGAACAGAAATGTCAATGTATAAATGCTTCATTTTGTGCCGGAGTTGTACTTCTACCAAACTGCAGACATTGTGTAGCTGTATGTGTTGTTTGATTAAGTGTTGGCTCAAAACTGTTTTATGAGGATTGTAAATCTTTGTTTTTAAATGATAATTATTCAATCAGACAAATGGTACCTTGCTTAGAGTTCACTCACTGGTATACCAGATCATGAGATGACAAAATTGAAAATCTGTAGTTTGCATTATTAAACTGGTTAAACTTGCAGTGAAATTACTGTGACTGCATGTGACTTGTGTTCAAAGTCCAAGTGTAGAGAGAATGTAAATGGAGCTCATCGTGAATGTTAAATATTAAAAAGGGCTAACTTAATGTAAAATGTCAGTTCACAAACAAATGATGTAATTTGTTCACCAAAAAGTATGGATGTAGATGCGCAAGCAAGAAACAAAGTTGTATCTGTGAATACCGGTGGAAACAACTTGCAAAGCAGCATCAAGAGGAATGGAGAGTTAACAGATATTTGGAGCTCCTTTATTGTTGCAGGCTGTGATAAATCAGTAGAACCTCAGCTCTTAAGTTTGTGTTGGTCCCTGAATCTCGGCATCATTCATCAAGAGATCCTGGGACCCAGTGTTGTGACAAAAGTCCTTGAAGAAGGGATAGATCCTCACTCTGGGTGCATTGAGAGCAGACAAGGGGAGCTACATGTAGTGCCAACTGCTACACAAACTGTCTGGTATGCTGCACCATGTGTGATTAATGACAGACTTCGATAAATACTAATAGCCAAAACCTGTTGTGGAAGGACCTTTGAAAGGACCAATGTACATGTACAGTAAATGCAGCATGTGTTTTGTTACCAGTGTTGGAACATACCATGGAGGAATGATCATACAAATTTCAGGACTGTTTGATGGCCACCACCTTCAATGAATCACCCGTATAATGTGCTGTGTAGATCAGTGGTGTCACTCTGTCAGGAAAATATTTCTTCACTGTTCCACCTGTTAAACAGAAGAATAACAGTGAAAAGGAATTCCTCATGCCACACTAGCCACACTGTAAAATCATACTTCATTTGTATTTGTTATGTATTGTGTATTTTCTTCATTTTGTTTCTGACCCTTACCATGACTGTTTACCTAAAATAATCTAATCTAAAAAAAATCTCAAACTACTCTCCACACAACATGGATGAATTTGAACATCCATTCTACTGTGATTTAATTTTCATATGGCATAGTCCCACTGTACATCAAAGGGATACTCCAAAGCACTTCATCACAGGTTGATAAGACTGGATATTTTTCTTGGAAGGTTGAGAACATGGCATTTAATCCTCCATCAATTTAAAATATCAAAATAAACCCACCAGTGTTGATATTAGAGCAAAAATACATCACTCATTTCCTGTCACTGGTTTATTATCAAACCAGCTCGTCGAAATGTGCCACTGAAATAGTATGCATGAGTGGAATATGCATGGAATGGCAGCAAACAATCCAGTGTTTGAACAGAGAACTCTAACTCCAAGCACCTCCATAATGCCAAACCACTCTGGTACAGGATTACTAGGGTACAAAGGTCGTCCTCCACAGTGCATCATGTGTAGTTGGTTTGGGCACAGAGTTTAAAATGAATTCCACCTGGACAAACTCCAAAATGACCTCACCTCTGTTCATATCACCCCAGCGTTGTCAGACCCATCCAAATTTAAGATCGGTCAACTAGTCCTCAAAAGGAATTCAGGAGACATTCATTTGACTGAACCCATTCCCCCCCCCCAAAAAAAAATTGTCCTTGGGCTAAAGCAAGTGTATTAAAGTTCTCGTTCCTCACTGTGGAGTAAAGCCTTACATTCTGAAGTACTGGTCGCATCAAATTGTGCCATTATTTATCATCAGATTAATCGTCAACACTTTCAAAGCTAGTGTGTTGTAACTTGGTGGGAGCTAGGCACAGGATGTAATTTTATGCATCATGGACATGCGTCAGAATGTCATTTAAGTTAATATTTCAAAGATTCACGGTTCATCAAAGATGTAGTTCATTCCAATATGATAATTGTCAGAATTTGGTTCAACTGTCAATGTGGCAGGCATTCCCGTTATACATTAGTGTGAAGTGTTGCCCTATGTACAAGAAAATGTCCGCCTTCTTGGAGCAGAATTTGAGGTAGACTGGTCATGGTGTTCAGTTAAACCAACAGGGAAGCTAGCTTTTTTTTTCTCCTGAAGAACTCATTATCTAAATTGTCAAGAGAAACAGATTCGGAGTGGTGACCTTTTTCTTTGAGGCCATTGCCCTGCCTACTAGGGAGATTGAGGGGAGATTCCATACCCTCATTCCTGCAACTTCTCAAACTTCAAATTCCCATCACCTGTGCCCAAATTGACATCAATCTCCCCTTGAATTTTCTGCAGAGAGATCAATTTCACAGGTCTCAGGGGCTGTAGCTCTGGCGAGGAATTCTTTAAAGGGCTGTGCAGATGCTCTCCCATCATGCTGTGCAAATGTGAATTTCTCTGGCCCATCATATTTCTGCGCTTGGGCCCCTTTTCAGGAGTGTCACGATTTCGCAAGGCCCCTTTAAGTTCTGCCTGAAATCTTATGAATTTTTTGGGGTTGCTGACAGCTCTTTCAGCTCATGTCATGAACAAGCCTGCGTTTGTTGATGTTAACTATTGGCTTTTTTTAAAGACTTTTTTTATGGGACAACTAACGAACATTGTGCTCAAGACTCCTTTGAGAAAATAATACTTGTGCCTAGAACCCAGGAAAAACCTGTGGAAAAATTGAAGAATGAGGAATTTGGGCTTGAAATATTTTCCGCAAGTCACTGTTGGAAAGTTCCGAATCCACATGAGCAACTACGTGTAATAGCATTTTGAGAATGTAACCAAATAGGTGATTAATTAAAGCATGAAGTAGTTATGGAAGATTTCACATTTATATCCAAAGTAACTTTGTTTTTGAATTTCTCCATGTTGCACGTATGTTACTACCCACCTTGAAGTTGAACGCGCCGTTTCAAAGCCTGAAGTGGCTCTGGTACTGAATGTGTACACTGGCATTGGGCATTGTAGGTGTTGTGAAATAGGGCATTTTTACATAAAAGCAAGTGACTGTTTCATAAATGCCTGGCAGTGTTCACTTTGAATGATCTGTTGTAAACATGGCATAAAAAGCTCTAAACATAGCATCAACCGTGCTTCTACAGTACACATGCATGTTTTTAAGTCCTTACAATTGAGACAATACGAAATTTGTCCAAGAGCTTGCTGTGCTCTCTCAGAAGTAAACTAACAGCATGGTGCTTAGAAAACCAGACAGGTTCATTATTTATCCTTGCAACCACCAGATTATCCCAGACTTTTTTGCAGCCCAAAATGGACTGATTCTGTCCCATTCGGTGGCTTGTGATTTTACCTGTTACTGCTATTTTTCAAACAGTAAGAGTAGGGTTTGGTTTCATTTTGAAAACAATTATGATTTGTGTTTGGTAATTTTCATTCATTGCACTTCATTGTTTATCAACCCTATTTTGTATATGATGTTTTGTACTGAACAGTACCTCAACCTAGCTAAGCTGTGCTTTCATTTGTCATTAGATTTACCATTCATGCATGATGCACCACTGCAGGATATCCAATCCAAAGGATATCGCTGTATGTCAGCTACTAGTATGCACAAAGGTTTCATTTATACTGATGTTAGTGTAGCACTGGAATAATGATTGTCACATCTATCATGCCTGTGCTTTGTACAAAATGTGTTTTTGTCACTGAAGTAAAAGTAATAGATTTATTGAGGTGGATCAGTAACTAAAAAAAAGTCTTATATTAAATGTGCATGTTGGGAATCGGTACCAGGCTCACATTACTACTACTAGGCTTGAAGGCATGTCTCTGGAGAAAAAATTCTGAATTCAGAAAACATTTTGTTGTAAAAACATCTTCACCTGAATTTGCATTACTGTGTAATATTATGCGAATACCCTCAATAAGATCTATTTTTAGATTAGTCATGTTTTCCAGACCATCCGTGACCTGAACAACAATACTTCCAGCCAGGTGTGACCAGAAACTTGTCGCACCTTTTTTTCAGAGACAGGTTTGCCAGTAAATTTTGGAAATCGTTTCTCTCTGCTGAGCCCCTGGATTCATTGTGAGGCAGTACCATACATACGTGTAGTTTGTCTCTCAAGAATCCAACCCCAGGCAAGGGGTATGGTGTTTACCCTGGTGTAATGTGTTGTTTGAGATGGACTTCACATTTCCAGTCTGTTTTCATTTGTAAATTATGGACTCATCCTAATGGTTGCAGAGTTTGAAAATTCCAGATCAGTTGCAATGCCTGAAAGGTAGTTTTTTTAATGTGAGTGTTTTATACCCACGTTTTTCATCTTTGTAATTTAAAGACTAATCCAAATCCAAAGCAATTCATAGGTTCTTCAAAGCTGAGGGTATTTCGGAATTCTATACAGCTCTTATTAATACTGCACTAGTGATCACCAAGGGTAAATTTTTTATGTGTTTGTGTCTTCATGTCCCACAACGGCACAGTCAAATGGCAAAGGGGCATTAAGGTCTGTTGCTGTGCATAAGTAATGAACCCAAAAGCTATCAAAGTGTAACAAATGCATAGCTCCGAGGTTCATGTGAGGGGAAATTGCGTCCATGGCCTACATAGGTCACAATCAATTTTTAGAATAGAATTGATGCTAAGAGAAGAATATTTCACTTCAGTTGTGTTAAATGCCAATTTTATGGTGCATCGTGAATTTGAGCCACAAAAATACACATTTTTTTTCATTTTTGAAATGTAAAAAGAAATTGATATCCCCAAATAACCATACCAAAACAGTCTGTATTAAAGTGAAGTTTTTCCCTGGTTTTATTTGTAGAAACGGATGTTTGAATTTGGAAATGTTTTACATGTGTGTCCTTTGTTCTGCTGTACCAGCTCGGTTAAAGCTGCTTTGCCAATGATTAAGTATTGTACATTGCTGTAAAAAATATTGCATCTGTGTATTTAATCAGAACAGTATTTTACAATAAAAGAACATGCTGTTGACAAATGTTCATTTGCTGCCCTCCCAGAGCCTTGACTTTTTACCTTCTTTGACCACTGGTAGTGTTTATCTGTAGTTTATAAATGCAGTGAATCAAGTAAAATCAAAACAAGATTAGTGGAGCCACTGTACATGTGCACACAAAAATGTGCACAAGTAAAATGAAGGCCCTGCTTCTGGCATGCTAATGCAAGTCAATACTTGTAGGTTATTGGTCCACATCAAATTGCTGTGAAGTCTGCCATGTCTTACATGTACATTTACATGAAGTTTCTCCCTGTTTGTCCACACTTTGACAAGAACACAGTTATTGCTCTGAACTGTCCTTTGTGAACAGACGTCCTGTTTAACTTCATGTCAGTTTAACCCAAGCATTCAACAGTAAACAGGAACTTACACCCAGTGTTAATCTGTCAATATCTTGATCATCAATAGCATGCCACAATTTTATACAAGATATTTATACTGAAGAGAGAAAAGCTTTAAGTTTGAAAGCCTTCTGCCACTGCCAGGTCTTGGGTTTTTCTTAATTGTACAATAAGCTTCCACAAAACATTTCATGTACGGTGTATATGTTCTTGCTGGACGCTGTATGAAGCTTTTAACCCTTATGTTAAGACATTTTTGTGCCTCCTGAGACCTTTGTGGTTAAACAAATGTCTGAAAAATGCAGATAATGGTGCACATAAGAACAATTTTCCTCACAGTATCTTGCATCAGTGTCGTGTTCACGTTTGTTATTGTACCATTGATTTAAGAATGAGCCCTTCCCTAAACATGCCACAGACACTCCTGAAATATTGCGACAAAACCAAGGAAGTGGGACTACCAGCAAAGGTTACTGAGAAATCCCTCAAGTTTGCCAGTATCCCATGCACTCATTCATTGCAAACTCCCACCACTTCAAATTAGCTGGAAGCCTTTGTCGGGTGGCCAGCTACTGTAAGGAAGCCCATTGCTTGCCAGAACAAGGCTGCCCCCCTCAAAAATTGCGCTATTCACAATTTATCACAGGTCGGTCGGGGGCATTGTCAGGTTTTGTTTATCCAAGCGGAGTTTGCAGAATGATTCACATGCTTTCTGGCAGGCGGGCGTCTTTTTGGCCAAGGCCTGTGCAGCCCAAAGGTCGTAACCTGTAAAATTGGTAATTTGTCATGGCATGTCTCAAAATGCTGTCTGGATATTGCAAGGAAGATAAAGAGTGGAGAGCAGAGGCCCAGCAGGACTGAACATTTGCCACATAGTGGGCGGATTGTTTGCACAATTATATTAATGTATGGCTCACTCTCAAAGAATATCTCACAGCTTATGGGGCATTGTCCATATACAATGGAAGAAAATGTTTATTCCACCTGGTGGATCAGGTGGGGAAAAAAATGTGCGAACTGTACGCACTTTATCACAAGACTTTTCGTTATGAAAACAAAGAAATTCATTGAATTTCTGCCATGGATATAAATTTCAGTGAGTGGATGATTTTGCTGCTGCACACACACACGAATTGAAACTTTGTATAAAGCCAGGTAACTAACACAAACAATCCATATTTGATACAGACTGTCCCACATCTTTGGCGTTTAAAACCATTGTCATTTAGTGTCGTAGACTGGCAGATGTTTTTTAAACGAATACTCAAAGGGTCGTAATTTGAACAATTTGTAACCGTGTTGTAGCATGGCCATGGCTGCAGTTGAGACACTGCATTTGTCACCAGTGGTTTCCCTAGGAAGTGGGGTGAACAATGACAAAGGAATGCCTTTGTCGTGCATTCCCATGAGCACAGTGAGACTGAATGGTGTGTGAAGGACTTGTGAAGCTTTCCTGTTCGTAGTCTTTTGATCAAAGTAATAGGTATCCAGGACTGACCACAAGGTTCTTATCTTTAGAATGTAATTCAGAAAGAAATCATTCACATCTCATGATTGAAGTACTTTGTGTTGTACTACATGTACACGTACGAAAATGGGCAAGTGTACCTGGTATATCGGTACTAATAATTTTCAAACTCACATCTGTGGGTCAGGAAAAAAATCTAACGTGGCCTTACTTAGATTTGTTAAATTTTAACCCTGGAGTTACAGTATGCTATCTCATGCAATTACATGTACAACTTTATAAGCAGATCAAGTACATGGATTCTGTACTAAACTGTAACATCACTTATAGATGCTTGAGTGTAAAGAAATGTCCATGCAAATGTATTTCATATGTTGTGAACTTGTACATAATGTATATGTTTGTGTCATTGTGCCAGCACTGCTCAAATGTAAAATACTGTACTTGGAGAAATCATTCTTGTAACCTTTCTTTAGGTTTGTGTAAATCACCTGTATATGTATATTTCTAACAGTGCACTCACATAGATAATAAGTATAATAGCTTGCTTAAATTGTGTCTGAGAAGAACAGTAGGAAAAAATTGGGTGTAAAAAAATAACAATTTCAGGTGATGCAGTATTGTAAGGAGGTTGGGAGTACTGTACGTAGATTCTTGAACGACCAATACTTGGATAGGTCAAGTACATGTACCTACAAAACAAAAATTCAATGTAATGTAAAGCACTGATTGTGTGACTAGAAGTGATTGTGTAAACACAACAGGTGTTATCTTGTGTTTCTCATTATGTGTTGGGAGTGAGGGAAAGCACATAAATGACCCACATGTATCCCTCATTTGTCCAGTATTACTGCAGGTGAAGGTTGAAAAATCTTTAGTAACAGTGATACAGTGAACATATGATGATGCCCTTAACTTAACCAACGTTAAGTTTTGTTTTTGGATGATTCAGTGACATGCCCTGTTCTCCACAAAACATGAATGCTGTCATGCCTGTTTGTCACAGATGTATCTGTTCATATTTTAGACTTAATCTGTTGGTTCTCATTTTTGCTAAGCTTTTACCAAAATGATATTCACCAAATTCTGTGCACATTTCCTGGGTGAAACTTCAACGTGATTGTTACCACTGTTGATTTTTTTCAAATCATCTGTGCTGATGGGATTTGGTGCACGTACATACGAGCACAAGGGAAATTACTGTTCTAAACTACCCTAAACAGTTTGTGAAAGGAGTAATATTACTTATGCACCATGCAGCACAGTTGTTGAACCAAATTCCTTGGAGTTTAAAACAGGTTACTATAAACTGTTGCTTTGAAATCATGCTTATTTATAATTTTCTTAAGGTTTTGATATAATGTAACATTTATGTTATAATATATTTACCAGAGATGTTTTGTTGGCCATACTTTCCAAGATGTTCCTGTTCATTTTAATTTATTTGTGAAGCCACCTTTTTGATCACTTGAAGCATTGCATGTGATTTTGGGGGAACTTGTTGATTCTCATGTAAATTGCAAATTGTGCTTCATAATTCTCAATGGTGTATCAGAGGTGTTCCAAATTAACAAAGTATACAATGTACTTGTAATTAATTAGAGGCCAGTCACAAAAGTGGTAATTAAAAGTGTATTGTTACGGTATGTAAACTGGCCTGTACAGTGTAGTGAGATATGCTGCCAAAATGTGATGAATAAAAGCTGTTGTAATGGCTCCTTTTTTCCAAATAACCTACCCCGTTTATGATTTATTTTATTAGTGTCACTTTTCCCCTTTTTGTTGTGTCTGAGGTTTTTTGCTGTTGAAAGATATTCTTTTTAAAACTTCAAATTCTGAAAACCATTTTATGTTGCTGTGCAAGTTGCATAGAGTTGGGATGATGTTCGATGCCTCTTATGAAATTGCATGCACATACAGGGTTGTAGAAACAGAAAGTGACCAAAAATGCCCTGTGTTTTTTTGTGAAGACCTGCGTGTAGGATAAGAGTGTTGAGGCCATATCGGTGAGGCCATATCGGGTGTTCTTCAGGGACAGGTTGACATGCAGAAGAGACTGTTACATATCAGTTTCTCCTCTGCAACTGGGGAACTTCATCAAACTTGCTCTGTGACATCTTTCACCTCAAGAAGTTTTGCAGCCCCTCCATCTGGTCTTGACCTCTCTCTCTTTCTCCTCCAATGAGACTCCCTTTTCATCGCTTGTTATTTCTCCATACTCCACGACCCCAGAGGTCAATGCCAAATGGTGGCCCTGGGGGACCCCTGAATTTCGGCATGTTTTGACAGATGTAGGCAATACACCCATGCGCCAACAGTGAGGGACTTACCAGGAGAAGTCACCTCCCATTGTTTTTATGATCACCCAGGAGGGCTATTAAAATTCAGCATGTTCACTTCTCCATGGTTATTGAAAGCAGTTTTATGCTAAGTTCATGGGCATTTTAGTACAGTTTAACAGTTAAAGGGCAGTTATAGAAACCTTCAAGTTATTAACCTTGTAGTTTTCAGCCTCATTGATGAACTGTGGTTTGATGGCTATATCCTTGGTTTAGGTTTGTTATTCGGGTCAAACTGTAAGCAGAAGCACAGGTAAGGTGTGCGTTGATGTTGCCGAAATTGAAAGATTAATAATTGGGCATGAACTACAATGAAGGAGCAGGGAGCTTTCAGGTGCTAATTTCCTGAGACGATTTATTTGTGCCGGACACACTGTTAAAACAACATCGTTAACTCTGAGCTGCACTTTTTGCCTGAGATAAGAATACATTTGTTTAGCATCACGCGTTGTGTTTGCTACTGGTGGGTGAGTATCAATCTTTGCACTTTGTGCAGCTGGGGTTGTCTTTATGGGGGATATTTCCAGATGTTCCCAGATATAAAAATGCAATATTTCATTGTTTGTGGTGATATTTGGACCTTAACAGCAACTGTCTGAGGTCCACATGCGTGAACTTCACTTGTGCTCTGAAGATATTATTTTCCAGCTCTGTTTTTTGTTATCTTGCCATTTTAAAGCACAAAAACTGTCTATTATTTCCACACACAATTCCTGTGCATTTGTTGCCGTCAAAGAATGACTGTTGTCCTCAAGAACTATTTTTGTCAAGATGCTGCTTCTTTTGATGCCCTCCTTTTCTTATTGCCTCTTCTTTCTCTGTTGACTTAAACAGTGTATAATTTGTCAAAACAGTTCTGGACAGGATATGTGTCACCCCATTTGTAGAAGGCACCTTTTATCCATCGACAAAAATAGAGCATTTGGGAGAGTTTCCTTGTTCACTGTTTCGTACATATGAAGCAAGATATGAGATGGAGAGAACCCCCCCCCTTTGTGTTGGTCACTGTTTCACTGGAATCTGAAGAATTCTTTTCAGACATCTAGGGGGGATGTGTTAGGTAACAGTAGTCTAGAGTGTGTATAGTGATTGGACATTTTGGAGGGGTACCCCTCTGTCTCATTTCTTGCTGGATATGGTTTCTTAAACCTTCACATCCTTACCACCATGCCCAATCACCCCAGCTCCAAGAAACTGTTATTCAGTGTTAGCCCCATAACCACAAGCTTAGCTTAATCTGTGTGCCACAGCAGGGTTTTGTGTGTGCATTGTAACCAGCCAGCCAAAGCCCTCTATGAATAGTGGGGCTTTATTTGCTCTTCCAGCCCTTTTGTCTTGCCCATTTACACATGATAATCACCTGGTCTTTCAAGCTTTTCAGGCTACAAAGGCCACCTCAGCCAGTGGCTGGGTGCCTGTTTGTTGGTTGTGGGCTGTGTGAGGACTTTCTTTTGCCCAGCTTCAATGCTTCTTGTATTAGCTTACATGCAGGCTCTGTGTTGTGTTGAGCTAGGTTAATTGCATTTTGCCCTCAAGTACTGTGTCAACATGCAGAAGAAAAAAGGGGTCCTGGGCCTGGAAGGACAATCTGTGTCCAAAGTTTGTAATAACACCTTTGAATACCTCCCCAGTGGTCAGGTTTGCAAAGATATACCACCATGCAGCTTTTGTTTGTTTGCTAATTTTCACATCCGCAACAGAACTTGCAACTGGAGAGATGCAAATGCTTTAAGTTCCTAAAAAGAAATACCAGCTACACTGAAGGATTGCTCACGAGTTCATGAAAATACACATAAAACTCAATTATTTAAGTATGAATTGAGGCAGCTTCAGAAATTGGGTTTAAGTATTTTTCACCCTTGACTTTTTGGGCTAAAGATCCTTGTTAATTACATGGCATACATGCATTATGCCGTGTGGCTTTTTTGCTTGACAGGAAACGTCAGTATGTATGTACTGTATATGGCGACTGTAATGCTGTCCAGATCAAGTGTGACATTTGAGAAGCAAAGGTTATAGTAGGTTACTCTAACTAAACAAGCAATTTACATATTTCACAGAAGCCATGAGACAATGCAAGGCTGTGAACATCTGTTGTTGTCACCATTAGGTCTGTGTGTCCCTTGCTCTATGGTCATGATGGTGTAGCTATTTATGCAAGCATGATGTAAGTTTGGTTTAGCTGCCCAAAAAGTTATCTCTCTTTTTAAACCTCATTCAGTTTTCATACTTTGATGGTGAATGATGACATGTGTTAAAAAGTGTTACTGATTGTTAAGGATTGGGATTTTATTGGTAGTGTTGAGGGCAGGGGAACTGTTCAACTGTTTACTCATTGAAATCCATGATGCACATTTCTGTTGCTGACTGAAGACTGGTGTTGTATCTGTGTGTAGACTAGTGTATAACTTAAAAATCCTCAGCTGTGAATTGTTCACTGGAAATCCATTCCAGCTTATTGGTATAGGGCCTACAGTAAGTAAACACATTTGGTTGAGTTTGTCAACACATTTATTTCTTAGCATGCACCTCTGTTGTAACTGATGATCTTATGCATGTATTACAAAACACAGCAATCTGTACTTGAAAGCAAGTCGGAAACAGTTGTGGAAACAGTTGTGGGTTAGTTTCGAAGCCAGTCATGACACTAAATATAGAGTTTGTCCAAACCAGTGGAATTGTGCCTGAGGTAAACAAAATCTGTGTTCTCTCATGTTGGCACAAAACAGGAGACCCGACCTGCACATTTTTCACAGACAGGGCTTCTGTCAATGGGTAGAATCAATCCATTAGGCTTTTCAATGGGCAAACCAAACCATATCATTCACATGGGGCACACATCACATATAGCAATAAGATCCATGACTGGGCAACATTCTTTTCAGTGAGCCCTGCTGGTCCTATGAAAGGCTGGACTCCATCGGGAGGGGGGCTTATCATTGGCAAACAGACCTCCAAATGCACTGGAGCCTGTGTCTCCCATTGTTGATGGCCATTAGGGGAGCCTTTTCAAGGCCTGTCTGCTGATGGTCTGAGCAGTCTCAGCCTCTGTTGGCAAGGGAGTAAAGTATTGGTCAGGGGGTGAAAGGAAGAAGGGGTGGATTTAATGGGGAGGGCTGAAGATAGATTAGTGTTTCCATACACTGCATAATGGGAATGGAATTCAAATCAATGGGTGGCAAAAGCTTGATGTCCAGATGCTTCATCAGTAAGGGATCAACTTCACACCTCGCCATACAAAAATCTCAAAACCCATGTGCATGAAGATTTTGCCACATTTAACTTTAAAGAGACCCTTTAAATAATGTGTGCTATTTTTTAAATGTACATGTTAATTTTTAATCAACCGATACAATTTAGCGATGTTACAAGACTTATATCTATTGCCATGTTTACTTCGATGGTTTGGTTTGCTTTGCCCCTCTCAGATTTACAGGCGTTTTCCAGTACTGTTTATGATAATTAAAAAAAACTTGATGTGATAGGAATAAGACCTTTTGGTTTGGGGCAGGCATTTTTCAGCTTCATGCCATATCATATCTGAAGGGCTGTGTTAGAGGATATGAAACTTCTTGTGGGATGTCTGCCATTGAGCAGTGGGGCACTCCCCATTGTATGGTGAAGGTTGTGATGAATGCTTGTGTGTTGAATAACCCACTGATGACTTGTCAGCCATTTTCCTGTTTCCTTTTCTTGAAAACCAGGTTGGAAGTTGTCAGCTCAACAGCACAATAGGGCCCTGGGTGAAAGAGGCGATCCCTTACACGGTGGTTGGTTTCTGTCAAAACTCATTATTTCCAGACCACTTGGAAACTTCAATCTGGGTTTGGCCCTTGACTGCAGATTGAGCTTAGAACAGCGAGAACCTTCTGCATGTCAGGATACAGGATTTAGCTACCTTATTAAAAATGATTTCAAGGACATCAAACAACTTTCAGCGTGCATAACATTTATCCAATGAAACTAGCAAGATCTGAGAACAAACATCCCAAATGGGTCTCTGCTTGCGTATTTCCATTGTTTCTGGTTTTCTTAGTTGTGTAACTATTAAATGTGACATAGTTCAAACACAATTTAGATGTGTGTGGCTTGTCATAATGTACATGTACACACAGTCATTCTGGTTAGCTGTGGTTTGGGGCAAGCAGTGAAATACATGAATAAAGTACCAGCGTTACAGATTATGGAGTGCAATTTTTTTCAGTGTACCCAATATACCGTGACTTGTGTCACCAGTTTCTCATATCATTCATTACACTGTCTCTCATTTAATTTTCAAATGAAATGACGTTTTTTGGTATTCACATTGTGCCACAGTCTGTATTTTGTGGATATGTTGAACAACTATCATGTTGAGAAGGCTCCTTTTTTCCCCATAAAATTGAAAATTGGTT